AAATGACCAACAATGTGTTCGAACTGCACACTAAGATGTGTACTCTGTTCGGTCTGCACGAATAGTATTTATGTATGTGATTCGGTTTAATTTTACTGGTCCGAATGCTCAAGCTATCCGTGACTTATAGAGTAATTAATGAGAACATTTACTCATTGCATTAAATGATGTCCTCCCCTCCCTTTTATAGGAAGTTTAGGGACTTTACATTTCCCTCTTGGGGATTTTTACATTTCCTTTTACAGGATATTTTTAGATATTAGTCATTCAGCATTTAATGCTAATTGTACTTGACAATCTTTTCCCAATATCTGAGAGTCGTCTGGATCGTGCCACGCGTCCCTATTTTTCCTTTGTCGTCGGATAAGAGATTTTTATGTATCTCCGCATTTAATGCGCGCAGTACGACTAGCTCTTGTAACGATTAAACAGATCTCGCTTATTCTCTCCCATCCGTTCGGCAGCGGCCCGATCCCGAAGGCATCCGGTTCCCTTTTTTTCCTTGGCGCTATTCGTTCGGTCTGCACCACCAACAATTATTATTATTATTATTATTATTATAGTAGTTAATGCTATTTTTTGCTATTATATTAATAATAGTTAGTGCTATTAATTTTTTACATGATTACACCTAATAGGGTGTATTAATGTGAAAGACAAAATATGAATGACAAAATTTGTAACTTCTTTTGGAGGGAAAATAAATGAGGTTTTATTAATTAGGTTTTATTTATGAGGTTTTATTTAATGATTAGCTAGCAATTATATATATATAGATATATATATATATATAGCTATAACATTTTTAAAATAATATAAAAGAAAAAATAATATCATACTTCCGAAAATAATATAAACAAAATTATAACCTTTTGTTTATATAAGTAAGCAAATTTCTTTTAAATATGAGATTTTGAGTTAACAAATCTCGCTCTAAGGAAACAAGAAATAGAAGGATTGAATAGATGTCTTTATTCCTGGGTAGGGATAAGTGAAACACCAGCATGAGGCTTTCGATCGCGCATTGCTAAGCAAGGTCCGACTCCAAGGCATCGCCAATTGAGAATCATGGTATAACACAGAATTTAGGCAAGCACACACAGGCAACAAGCATATTGGCAGCGAAGGACTCTCCCGAACAAGAGTTCGAGTGACCGAAAGTGAATGCATGCACTATTTTCAATACGTACGCGTGAACGCCCCACAAAAGCAAAGAGTAGAAACTAGTCTTTGGTAGTGGTGCCCGAAAAAAAATATATACAAAAATACACACATACACACACACATGAACCTTCCACAAAAGCACCCCCAATACCAATACATGAGGTTTTGTGCTATCAAAGATTTGAGACCTTGATCGCGTATGGAGCCATGGTTCTGCACAAAGTACAGGTCGTTGAGTGCCTCCCAAAAGTTTTCATTCTTGCATAGAAGCAAAATGGTTGTACCCAAGCTCAACGTTGAGTCCCAGACGCTCAGAATAGTTAGTGTCTTCTAGGAACTATTATCGGCATTTCAAGAACAAACCGGTCTTACCCGGTTTACTTGTTGTCTATGCATTTAGCACTTGTCCTTTGTTGGAGCCCAGCAAGAGACGCCGTCTCCCAGCCTTAACCATTGCACAGAATGCTCATTCACTCCCTCTTGTTTTGAGTGGCTAAATTTTTTTGTCATCTTTGTTAGCATGTTGAGGTCATCTCTGATAAAAAATCAAACTCATCAAATATTTTGCTTTCCTGAATAAACTTTGCACTAATACCTTGGGTACGGACAAACATCAATGGATAGAGAGTTTGACTTACCTTTTGGTGGCATCATATGCTTTGCTAAGCATAGGCATAAACAAAGTCATAGCAAGTAAATAAATTATTATAATGAAGGTACTCATAAAATTCAACAGATAAATATTTTTAGTGATATAGCCTCATTTTTGCCAATCAAACTGAGTATGGATGGATCGACTGGAGGATGACCCATATATAAAAGACAACCTAAATAAACACACTGAGCATAGATCCAAGCGGGATGAATAAAGCCATTGTATCTCAACCTGAGAACCTTCGATGACATGAGAGTCACCGAACGACCTGAAAGACACTAGATGACCTAATAAAGAAGTAGCCTCGAGGAAATGTGGTCATGAGTTGGGAAATTTTTGGAATACATAGTTACTGAGAGAGGTATTTAGGAGATACAAGGGTTAAAAAAAAAAGAAAGATTGGCGGACGTTAACTCATGAAATTCTATAAGAAGGTGGTAGCGGGGGACAAACAACAAGCTAAGTGAATAGCTAGACAGTTGTCTTATTTGAGCTAGAAGGAGTTCTCTACAAAAGGTCATATGTTGGACCTCGTCTGCTATATGTTTCTAAAGATAACGCGGAATATGTGCTAAAAGGATTCATGAGGGATATTGTGAAGCTCACGCGGGTGTGCGATCCATTGCAAAGAATGTATTAAGAGATGGATATTATTGGCTGAAAATGCTAGTTAAAACTGTTGAGATAGTACAACGATGTGAGAGGTATAAGCGGCATGTACAGGTCGCATACTTACCTGCTGAGGAGATGACTACGATAATCACTTTGATCCCCTTTGCCTAGTGGGGAATAGACTCGGTAGGTCCTCTGGCTACTGGGTCGGGACAAAACAAGTTTTAATTGTTTCAGTTGACTACTTTAGCAAGTCGGTTGAAGCCGAATTATTAGCTTGCATAATGGAGGACAAAGTGATTCATTTCATGTTTAACAATATCTACTTCGATCTGGAGTACCAAAATTTTCAATCTCTGACACAGTTCCAAGAAGCCAGAACACGAGATTGGTGTGAAGATATGGGGATATAACAACATTTTGCGTCAATAGCATATCCACAAGAAAATGGCCAGGTCTTGGTATCCTAAAAACCATTTTGGGACATTTATTGAAGAAGAGAAGTGATAAAGATATGGGTGCAAATCCAGCACCTCCCATTTCATTGGATCACAACATAATCTGGCTTGCAAATAAACAGGGTGCTACGGAAAATGCTTGATGTCCAAATTCCCGTAGCAGGGAGCACAAGAGGGCAGTTGCTCAAAGTCTTGGTAGAATTTAAACTAAAGAGCCTCTGCTAAGAGGTACAACAATCAAACAAGGAAACACAGTCCAATTGGATTAAGTATGAAAACTTTCAAACTTTTTGTTTTTACTGTGGTAAAATAGGACACTCTGACAAAAACTGTGCCTTAAAACAAGAAGACATTAAAAGAAATGTGATTAACTTGGGGAAATGGCTTAGGGACTGTAACTCTGGATACAGTGAGTCTAGGATTCCCGCTTCTCAGGGATCAGGGAGTAAATCTAGTGGCAAAACTCAATCTCTAAAAAACCAGCATATAGAATCACACAACAGTAGGAATGAGGATTAGGACTTGAACATTCTTAATCCAGGGAATTAATAGGATCTGAAGGAAAGTGGGGGGGTGTTGGTGAAGCTAGTGGAAGTGGTAGTGAGGAATTGCCTATTCAGTTGGAGGCTGATAAGTTTATGGGTAAAAAACTTTATGAAGTCTCACATAGAGATAATCCCGAAGCTGATGATTTGAATTTTAGTGGAAGTAGATATTGCCCCTTATTCTAATTGGCGAAAGATTAACTCAAAGAAAAAAAAATACATACTTTGTCAGACACCCAAGAGGTGTTAAGTTAGTTGTTCCAGAGCCCATGAAAATTGAAGTAATATGTAAAGGGGTGTCTAACCAAACTGCTTCTGATCAATGTGTGAAGAAAAATAAAAATGAACCTTGCTAAACTTTGAAAATCAAAGTGTTCTTCAAATTGTTGAGTCTGATTCCAAGAAACAAAAACTTCACAAAAATCTAAATTTGTCTGAGGTGGAGGAAACCAGCCTTAACTGGTCCCAAGTTTCCCATTGAAGGCCATGGTGTAAAATTGTAGAGGTCTGGGAGGACCCTCTACAATTTCCCAATTAAAAGAGACTCTTATAAACCACCTCCTTGATTTTGGTATTATTT